TGACTAAACAAATTACAAATTGAGCATACCTACTCACCATTATCTTCATCTGAAGTTATTTCAATACTGTTGTTATTTTTATATTGATCACTCGAAGAATTTCTTTTTAAAATTGGCCATTTGGAAACAAAGTCATTATACTCTTGACAGAGCTGTTCGTAATACAAATCTGACATAAATGGTAAAATCTTTATATGGAAACTTTTTAATGCATTTTCTGGCAAAGATGTATTGGAACAAAAATTATCTAGATCTAAACAATTGAAGTCAGCATACAAATGTTTGTGTTTTTCAAAACGTACTACAATACTTTCAACAACCTAATCAAATGTTACATTATGCATATTTACTTCATATGAATGCAATGGATCTTTAATTGGGTTATCGGTTGATTCATAAGTAAATTGCTTGGACTTTTTCCTTGGTCGAAATCATGGGCGTAGTATGCATAGAGCTGTGGGGGCTGTAAACCACATAGAAATTTCTGTGCCCTTTTCATTTTATCTAAAATTAATAAATTCTAGTTTTAAAGGTTTTAATAATTTTTCCTAAAATTCACCAAGCTTTAAATATTAGCAGTTTAAGACCACTTAAGGTCCATCCATAACTAATACTTCTTTTTTACGAATATAATTTATAATTATATTGAAAATAGTTTTGATTAATAATTATATTTATTGATTGAATAATTTTTTGTATTTTGCTTGCATTGAATTTATTACTGCGTATTAGTTTTTTTTTAAAAACATTTATTGTTTCGTGTTTAGAAATGGATGTGTTTACATTTTTAACATCAAGAGAAATCATTTTATATTCTTATGTTATTTCTCATCATCATTAAATTTAGTGAATATGATTATTATCGTTTAATAAATTTTTATTAGGTTAATGAGTTGACGATATCAGAGTGACATTGGAAGAGTTGATATTTAAGTAAAGTAAGTTATTGTCTTCTTTAAAAAATACCAATATTGGAATGAACAAATTAAATAAAAATATTTAAGACATACTTAAAACAATAGCCAATTTAATTGAAGATAGTAAAATTCTTAAAGAAAAGTTTATTGCTCTTGAAAATAAAATTGAGGTTTTAGAGATCAAAAATAATTTTTTACATAAATCCTTTAAGAAAGATTTAATTACAGAAATGATGAATAGACAAGTAAGTTTAAATATTATAATTTTCAATTTACAAGAAATAAATAGCTCTGATAAAATAACTAATTCTGGTTAAGATAAAATTTCAAAACTATATGTAGAAATGGGTACTAACCTCCCTAAATTTAAATATTCACATCTTGGAATTTCTAATATAAAGAATTTGGATAAGTCTCGTGCGATAAAAGTTGTTTTATCAAACACTGTTGATGTCTACGTACTTCGTTTGAAATCTGAATTACGTACTTCCACAACGTGGTCATTTCATTTGATCATAAAATTATTCAGCGTCATTTTATTTATTGTAAATTAAGAATTTTCACTATTATTTTATTTTATCTGAAATTTTTTTTATTGGTAATTAATTTGTTATTGTATTAGTTTAAATCCTCGAATTGTTAAACCTGATTATTAATGAAAAGAAAAAAATGTCACATTATAAATAATTGTAATTGGATTATTTTTTCCGTAATAAAGAATGAATACTGTATTATAGTCTGCCATTACCTATAGTATATATGTGGGTATAGACTTATGAGTTAAACAATTATTTTCTTTAAAAATTATAAAATTGTTGGATAATAGAATCATAATTTATCGAAATATTTTAAAAATTATTTCAATAATAAAAATGGGTCAAATATATACGCCTGTTTTAATTGCCTTTCGTGTTTATTGATAGGTAATATAATACTACGTGCCCATTTGAAAAAAAAAAATATGTTATTATAAAATTGGCAAAAATGTAATTTGCTCCTTCTCTTAAATAATATATGATTCACGTTGATTTTAGTAAGTATTTCTTTTCTAGATAATTAAATAGGTAAAAAAAATATAAGTGCTTACCATTAATAAATAATTAGTAAATTATTTGCCTTAAATAGTAAAATGACTTCATCGATTCATGAATATAATAATTAATCATTTAAACAAAAACCTATTAGTAAAGAGTAGTTTTATAATTAAATTTATAGTATTTATTCTCATTTCAAGTATTTTAATGTCTATATTAATTTTTTTTTTTTTTTTTAATAAAATTATCTGTATGATTTTAATAACTAATTCAGTTTAAAATACATGTTCAAAAATCAAGAGTACTCATCATTTGGTTGTTAACTTAGTTTTAATCAAAACTATTATGTGAATTTGTAATTTATGTATATATTAAAATTACATTTATGTATTATCATTATCATGGAAAAATTATTCCAAAAATTCAAGATTATATTTCACAAATGTAATTTATAATGTCAGCATTATTTGTTCTACTCATGTATTAAGTATTTATAAAACTTACAATAGTATTAATTTATTTACACGTTGATAAAAAAAATTTAAACATTATTATAACTTAATATTTCTAAATTATTATCAAAAATACCATACCTAAAACAAAATTGTTAAAAGTAGTTTCATTACATAGGTATCTTTAAGTTTGAGTTAATTTCAATAGACAATAATTATATTTATTATAAATGTAATTATATGATTGGTTATACAGATAACTTAAATATTCATATATTATATGTATTAAATAAGTTCCTAGAAATAGTATTTTATCAAATCAATCAACATTCAACTGATTTACTAATATAAATTTTGCTTGAATGGGTTTGCAACTATCATATTTAATCATTTCATAAATAATATTATTATATATACAGCTGCATTTTTATTTAATCATCATTTTACATCTACTTTACAATATAAGACTTTCTTTTATCTCAATGTAATAATTATTTAAGTGGACTACCTACTTGATGAAACAAATTATTTATAATAATTATGTCTCTAATATATTTAGCAATTTTTTTTTTTTTTTTTTATGAATATAATATTATATTTAAGCTTTAAAGTTTTAAATATTTTCCTTATTTAAGTATGTATTGTAATCATTAAAATATTTAAAAAATATACATTATACTTAAAATTATGTATTTCACTGTAATCAACGCACTAGTAATAAAATTTCTTGAATGCTTTTGGTAGTATAATAGGTAATATAAAAAAACTCTCTTTAATATTATTTTAATTTATAATCTTTATAATAAAAGAACAATTATAGAAAATATTTTCCAACTTGGAATTATTTAATTTATTTAATTTCATAGAAAAATTATTAAACATAAATTAATTTTATCATAAAATTTCAAATAATTTCTTGAGCTCAACCATTAGCTGCCAGTCAGTCTTCAATAAATCATCTCTAAAATGATCTTTACATGCATCTATAGACTGTCTGGATATTTTGCTCACCAATAAATCTTTTTCATCAAAATGCCTTCCAAACATTTTTGGCGCTTCTCCTGGTATTGGTTCAATTTTAATACAAATTTCTTGACCTTTTCTGGCGGTTTCTACGGCCTTATGGTTGTTTTCTATACTTGTCACAATACCTAGATCTACAAATTCTTTACTGGGAACACATAGAGGAGTACCTTCTTTTACAATTCCAGATTCTACCATTACTCCCATAACAATTGGATCCCTTGAATTAAAAACAAACTGTGGTAAAACTTTAAGCTTGCAAGGAAAAACTGCAATAGATTTGAATTGATCTCGGTTTTTCTTTTTTAAATCATCTTGATAAGCCGTAAATTTATCAAATAAATGATAAATAATATCAGCTTGGAATATTTTAACATTCAACATATCTGCTAATTCTTGTGCATCTCTTTCAATTTTTACATCAAAAGCTAATATAGTAGCATATAATGGAAAATGTTCTAACATAATTGAAGCTTTCATAACATCTTTTTTAACAACAGGGCCAATTCTTATATTACTATATGGTATTTTACTGGATCTCAAGAAATCCAGTAACGCTTCTAATGAACCTAAAGTAGAAGCTTGAACATAAACACCTCTATCTTGTAATTTTATAGTACTAAGAGCAGATTTTAATTCTTTTGCTACTAAATCTTTAAGATGTTCTATTTCATCAGGTTTATGAGCTACATAAATATTTAATCCAGCTATAGCTTTTTCTAAATCTTTAGCAGCAATTTTAACACCTTGAGCAGCTTTTATTTCTTTATACTCAATATATGCATTTTTTACTCTCAGTTCTTTTAAGGGCTGAGGCATTAATAACGATCTTATCTGGGTAACGACAGGTCCATCAGTGCCTGCTACAACAATCGTATCTCCTTCTTTGAGGTAACCATTTACTAAAATGGTGTCAATAGTTGTTCCTAAACCAGTTATAGCTTTTACTTCTAACACAGTAGCTTGTAGTTCATTACTAAATAATAGTCTTTTATACAAATGTGTTTGGCAGTTTTCAATTATAAGGTCTAATAAATTTCCCATTCCTTCGCCAGTAATAGCTGATGTAGGTACTAAAGATACATACGATTTTGGATCAGGATTTTCATAAAATAGAGCCGCATTTAGACCCTGTTCGGCGAATTGTAATATGACGTTTTGTGATCTTGTTTTGAATTCATTTTGAGTGTTGGAATGCTGAGAACTCAAAATATCTCTTACGTCTTTACGCGGATTAGTTTGCCAGTCATACAATCGATCAATTTTATTTAACGCAACAATAAAAGGTGTTTTTTTAGATTTTAAAATATTAATTGATTCTATAGTTTGTGGTTCTAAACCATGCATGATATCAACTACTAAGATAGCAATATCACATAATGATGAGCCTCTATTACGAAGGTTGCTGAAAGATTCATGGCCAGGTGTGTCAATAATTAATAATCCCGGAACAAGAAACTTTCGTTTTTCATAATCAATCACAACTTTGGTTTGTTCTTTTATAGCATGAAGTGGAACATTTGTAGCTCCAATTTGTTGAGTAATACCTCCAGCTTCTCCATCTTGAACATTAGTTCTGCGCAGCTTATCTAATATTTTAGTTTTTCCAGTATCTACATGACCCAAGACACACACAACAGCAGCTCGAAGATTGGATTTCTCTTCTTCGTCTGTGTTTCCATTTTGAGTTTCAACTTTTTCAACCTTGGCTACAATATTTTCATCATTTTCATCATTATTTTCATTATTTTCTTCATCTGAATCATCAGATTCACCATTTTCATCTAATTTTTCTGTAGTTGATTGAGCTCGCAATAACGCTTCACTTTGCGCTTTAAAAGTCTCTAAAAGTAGCTGTGCACGAGCCCTGTCAGCTTTTTGTTTAGGAGTTAAGAATTTTCCTTCTGCTTTTAATCTTTCTTTCTTTTCTTTTTCTTTCTGTTTTTTCTTTTCCTTCTTTTCTTGTTCTAATTTTAATTTTTCTTCCTTTTGTTTTTCAAGTTCTTCTAAACGTTTTTCCTCCTCTTCTTCTTCTCTACGAAGCTTTTCCTCTTCTTCTTTTTGTTGTTGTATTACTTCTTTTAAAGCTGCAAGAGCTTTTTTACCAGGTCCTTTTTTGTCTTTGACTGGAGCAGTCGGCTTCTTCTTCTTTTTCGCATCATTAGTCGACATTCTTGAAATAATGATTTAATACAAAATGAAAACTAGAACAAAAAATTAAAATTTAAAAATTAAAATAAATGACTAAAATAATTGAAATAAATAATGTTTTAAAATGTAGCATAAATTAACTTATTTATAGTATAACATTAATAACTTTTTGAAACAAAATGTATTGTATTATGTACTTATTTAGTGTTTTATCTATAATTAAGTTCTTTCATTAGTTGATTATTTACATTATTATAGTTTATTTAAATTATAAATGGCTAGTAAAAAATATATACTTATTTTTATACTGAATTCAATTTATGATCACTAAAATAAAAGTTAAAAATTAAGTTATGGATATAACATATTTTTTCTATTACATTTATAACTTTTTAGTAATTTATTAATTTGTTAAATTACTTTATAATATGCTTAATTTAATAATTTTACATCTTATAATACAATTTAATAAATAACGGTACTTTCTGAACACACACAATACAACTTACAGGGCCCAATCTAATGGTAAA